GGAGATGGGTCACAGCAAAGAGTTACGTTTTGTATTCTTGTAAAAAATGATGAATATAATGAATGACAGCAACCCCACTCATATCAGATTGAAGTCGCAATTCCGTATGTCCATCAAACATGTGACAGGATTGTCCACATTTTCCGAAAACATGGCACAAGTTCCTACTAAAAACCTTTCAACACACTAAGATCCATGCTGGTCCACCCAAAGTATCCTAATCCTCTACACAAAACACGTGGCCAAGGACTATAAGAGTCTATGGAAATATCCGAACTCTGCACCCCACCCTCAACATTGACTGTGAATACAAGCTAACTGATCGTTAAAATTCAATTGCATGCTTGAATGCTCATGTGACAAGTGGATCTGTGTAAATACATCAGTTATTCCCTGAAGAAATTGCTGAGAGAGTAATGAAAGCTGCTTGGTAGTAGTAAAGTAGACATACCGTAAAACCTCAAATAGAAGCCCAGTGGGCTTAATCTCCAGATGAAGCCATCTCGAATTAAAGCTACCCTTTTTAGTTTGCAAAATTAACCTTGAAACAAGATAGCATAGGCTTCTTTTGGAGATAGTTCCATACATACTGCACACTGTACATGAATTTCAAACAAAATAAATTTTGTTTTGCTTGATTTATACAGTAGTTTAGGTGATTTCATGCCCGTTACACCCCCTTATTCAGATTGATGTTACAATGGCCTATTGTTTAATAGTACAAAATTTACAGTCACTCATTTTGAGAAGAAGCCCCCCTTCCCCACCCTCCTTACTTTGCAAAAGAAGCCAATCTCAAAAAGTAGCCCATCCAAAGTTCGCAAAAAACAGGAAGAAGCCCAGGGCTTTAATTCGAGGTTTTACGGTATTTCATTTAAAATAATTCCAATTACAAGAATCCGTTTGATATTATAAGCATTGCAATAGTACCAAATATCTTTTACATTTTTTAATGTATTTTTTTTCCTTTTTTGTATAAAAATTTCAGTTTCGTTATACTGCTTTTATTGTGTAGAAGTACATAAATGCATGTTGACATTTTAACATCTCTGCACTTAACCCATCGATTATTAATTGCGCCCGGAGAATGATCAAATAAATATATTTGAAAACATTTAGTCTGACTGCAAATGAATTGGTTTTAACACAGGCTTTATTATTTTCAAGGACTTTCACTTCTGAAGGAGTTATTATGATTATTGCTACATTTTGTCCTTTAACCTTGGGCAACGCAATCATTTGATAAATATTTAAAGCAATAAATATCAAATTATCATCCATCACAGGCAAATTAGACATAAAGTTTTTTTTCTTCAGTATTTTAATTCAGAGTTGAAATCCTGTTAAACTAAGTACCATAAAATTTACATTTTATCATGGAAATCAATCTAGGCCATAAAAATTACATAGTTTTTTTTGTCATCATTGTTGTTTTTCTTAAGTAGAACAAGGCCACATTTTCCTTCAAGAAAAGTCACAATAGTCACAATGTTTTATAGTTAGGACAATGCCAAGGTTAGACAAACATGGAAAATAAAATAATAAAAAATGAAATAATGAACATTTAATAATCATTAGCCAATAAAATAATAAATAATACATAATAAGATAATATCAAATAAAAAATACTGAATAAAGTAATAAAAAATAATAAATATATAAAATACTATATAATAAAATAATTAATTAAATTAATAAATATTAAATATCAAATAATATTTTAGCCAATTCCATTCATGCTATGAGGATGTTTATATTCCTGCAGGGTTATATCTGGATACTTGTAAAAGAATAACAATATGTGGCCGAAAAAGTATGTAGAAAGGAACGGGGAACATGAGAGCTTCGTGCATTAATCTTGGGCTATATCTTCTATAATCAAATACACCATTTCCTTTCGACACTGTAGCAACTACTTATTTGGATTTTTTTTTTTTCTCTGAGAAATCTATCAGAATAATCCATGGTAAATTGTCTTTTTTGTCCGATTATACAAACGAGAAAACAATTTTCAAACACCTGCAGTGCATTTGACAAATTTCTGATGTCGCTTACGGTTTGTTTCCTGTCTTCTGAAGCTACCAAGTAGCCATGCGAATTAGAAACACGCACTTAAACACAAACATTCCAAAGACCTGACCCACATTGCTACAGAGAAATCACACCTGTTGATAGAAGTAACGTCTGCAACTATTCCTGAACATGCTTGCTAACCTGACTCGTTGAGGATTCAGGACTCGTGAATATTTATCAAAACGAACAAGATATAATTACCAGTCCAAGCCTCCCTCTTCCAGCAATGATTAAGGTCAACTTGGTGCGACCTACATTTGAAACATTTCCTGCTAAAATCACTTTTCAATATATTCAGACCCTTTATTGTTTATTTATTATATATACAACATAAGTTAAGATGAAAAAGTTTACCTTATAAACAAATTTGACTTCTTTATTGTTATATCCATATCATGAGTTTATTGCCTTTGCAATTGATTTCGCAGAAACTGCTGTACCCATTACCAGGGTGAGAAAATGTCTGCACACTATAAAAATTTATGCGACAAAAAACGGTTGTATGCCCATATATAGTCATGGTATGCCTATATATGGTCATGATGTGATGTCATCATGACCAAATTTAGGCATGTCACATGTTTTTTGTCAAAGAAAATTTGATAGTCTGGACAGAGCTTTAACCTGCAACTTATCGATCTAAGGCACTATTCACACTATCAAGTTTAATGTGGAAAATAATCAACTGTGATTTGCCTATCAACACAAGGCAACAAACTAGAAGGAAAAAGAAATAACATTTTCAAACAAAATTTTACCCAAACCCAAATAGTGCGCCTTCGAATTCAATGGATTCCTAGTCTTTTCCTAGAACTGCATTTTGAAATTATTCAAAACAAAAGTTTTAGAACTAAAGGTACCAATTATGCAGAGAATAACCAATCAAATAGCAGAGATTTAACCAATCATATTAAAAAAAAAATTATACTATCACATATATTCAAATGTCACTGTATTCTATTTAATATAACTATTTTTGTCCTTTACATTTTTGGATCTTAAAATTTATTCACCTCTTCCTTAGACACATATGTACCACTCCATTAAATTTTACGATGATCCATCAATTAGTTTTTAGCATAATTCTGGTAAAAGTCAGGCAGGCACAACGACAGACAGAAAAAGTGCAATGAATAAATAGCCTACTTAGTAGAATTAATGAAAACAAAAGAAAAAAAACGTAAATTCTGAACATAATTAATATTCACAGTAAGACTAGCAGGTTTTTTATTTCAAAATGTCTGTGTGCCAAACCACATCACCGGAAAAAAAAAAAAAATAAATAAAAGAAAAAAAAACTCCCACAAACCACAACCCTCTTAATGAACATCATAACCCAATGTTATCAACTCTCTTTCCTGTTGCTGTCGTTACTAATCCATCATACATGAGTGGCCTGTCCTTATTTTTATGTAGGTTACAACTTAATCTATGCAAGCATTACCAGCTCTTTAGGTTCAGTCAAATGTAACACTAAACTTCCTCATCTTACTGCCAAGTCTCTGGACATACTGTTAATATTATTATTATCGTTTGATCAGCTTTTCAATCTGTGCATGTATGCAGAACTAATCTGATTTCAGAATGTCTGTGTCTGATTCAGAACTTATTTATTTATTTATTTACTTTAATAATTTCAGCAAAAATGAACAAATAACAGGCAATATTAAACATCCATGTTTTAGTGTTACGTGATGTGGCAAAAGAGGTCGTAGTTCACTGCTGCCACAAAGACTACTGCTCCAACACTTAAAGTATAAAATATAATTCTTTCAAACAAACTCAATAAAATAAATACAATCTCATTAAACAGATTAATTAGCTTTGAAAAGTTCTTTTAAGATAGAGTACTCTAGTATTCGAAACTTTGCCATAGGGCACAACAATAGCCCACTGAATATACAAATAAATCTAGTTGAGATACAAGATTTCCCGGAATCATTTGTGGACAAGGTGCTTATGAAAGACATTCAAAAACTTGAAGCTGCAATTCATTTTCCATTTATTAGGTAATGAATTATCATTACCGGTATACATTTACACAAGTAATATTTTTTATATAACATTAACACAGGTTATTTAAAACTACTGTATTAAAGTTCATTAATTGAAATAACCTGAAATTATTATCATTGTTTAGAAAAGGTAAGGTAGTCCTGTATTCATTACTGAAAGTAGGGGAATGAGCTGTTAGCCCACGATCGTACTAAGCCTCGGCATTGTGTGGTATGGTGGCCAATTCCTTTCTACGCCGCCTTTTTCCTACTAGTAGTGAACCGGGTACCTATTTATAGTCCTTGGTGTAGAGAGCGAGACAAACATAGGTAAAGTGCCTTGTCCAAAAGCACAAGTGAAATGCACAGTGAAGGTTCGAACCCCCAACCTCGAGGTTGAGAGACGGAAACGCAACCACTGTGCCAACCGCTCCCAACAACATTGTTTTAGGGCCTTTGAAATAAAGATTCTAAGTTCTACCATATCAATGGAAACCTGTCAAGATAATATTATGTATATTTATCATTGTTATTGTTATTTATCATTTATAAATGCTAATCTATATTCAACATTTACGGTATAGGCAATTTAAACTAAACAATGACAGCGAGTTTTTATCAATATACATTTATAATATTATCAATATTGTTCAGAGTATTTGAATCTGCGATGAACATTCAGACATTCATATGCTAAACAGCATTAAGTTTTATTAGACACTATAATTAAAAGTACAGAAGCAAAGTGCCATAAGGATTTTGAGAGAAAAATATTCATTAAATCACTAAGTATGGTTTTCAATCGGTTCTAATTGCAGATAAGCTATATATATATAATTAATGACATTTTTCAATATGTTGTTCTCTATCAAAACATGCTGGTTATTAGAAATGCTGAGAACAAGGATTTACGAGGATTGCGATCATACGTACCACTCCGTGACATGCCAACCTGAAGACATCGTTGAAGTCGACAATACTGACAACGGTTACGGTTTACCTTCTGAATAGAACACTGACCGCTACAAGGTTTGTAAGATACTTTATTCTGGATACTTCGACGAAAAAATCCCTGAAAGAAAAAAATTGGTACAGAATTTTATATACCAAGAAAATAGTTTACGGTATTTTGATTGTGAAAAGAAAGAGTTTCTACAATATTTATTAAACATTATTACTAACACAAAAAATATTAAAAAGTACAATGATTGACAATAGCTACATTTACAATAATTCTTACGCTCCCATATTTTATAGCTCATTAATGCACAATATAACATGATATAAATATTATGTATAGTATATATTTTTATAATTGTACTTATAAAAATGTGTGTATTCTAACAAAACATTTCCATTCTTATATACATTTGTGTTTTTTTTTAATGGACAAATTCAATAAAGCGAATCTTGAACCATAAATACTGGCTGGTGGGACAACTTATATTAGCTTATTTGTCACATTTATATAGTAAATAAAGTACTGTATATTTTTCAAACAAAATCCACACCCTAATTAATATATTCTCTGACCAAGAGCCCCTTTACATAATACATCACATTCAAGAGAAAGTGGTTGACATACGTATACTACCAATAAGGAAAACCTCACCCTCTATATAATAATAGTTTCTAAAGGTCCAGATGATGTTTAGTTTGGCAGGGTCAAGGCAAGAGGCTTGGTGTAAAAATCATTTGTACCTTAACAATACAAACAAATAAATCTTGGCAAAAAAATTGTTTACTTGATTGTAATTAAAAACAAATCAAAAAGAAAGTGTATTGCCAATTAAACAACAAATGCATAAATATCCCTGTATCTGCATAGAATTTAAATTGGTTGTAGACCAATTTTAGGATTTTAATACAATGTCCTTAAATCAGTAGAAACATATTTATTATATATGCATATTCACCGAAGTTAATTAACTTCATCTTTTTATAGGCCATTCAATAAATTTCATACCATACAGCTATGATGATATGAACAAGGTAAAACAGAAACTTCAACACAGGTAGAAAAGCAAGATGATACTATAATGATAACTATGCTATACTGTGTGGTAGTTGAATATTGGTAATATTGCACTACATATCAAACAATTTATTGACACACCATTCGTAATTCTAGCCAATGCTTGAACTGTCTGCAGTAGTGACCCACTTTGCTGCCATTTACTATAAATCTTATTCGGTCATGCATTCACACAAACAACATACTCCGCCACAGAGAGCAACACGGCTGAGTGATCAAATTACACTGCTGGCGACATCTAGCTACAGTGCAACAGTAACATGAGACCGTTATTAGGCATTGGTCAGTAGTTTGTTCTTCAAAACTAATTACCAACTGCCAACTACACAACGTTAATACACTTTCTAAATATTGTTTACTTTATAATAAAACCCGATTAATTGACGGAAAACGATAGCTTTAACGAATCAACATTAATTGGTTACAAAATGCCTTAAGCACTGCTCTATTCTAACGGATGAGAAGAAATTGCTTAAATCACATGAATCTAGCAATATGCGTATTGTATTGTAACCAGAAAACTACGAATAAATTTAACAACTGACTGAAAATAAATCAAACAACACTATATTATTCACTCGCAGTTACAAGACCATCATGCCCATATTTATGGCCATGATGTCATATCACACCCACTTATCACGTAACTCTCATGACACATAACTTTTGGTAGGTTCGCATTTTGATAATTTAACTGTTGTTAAACCCTGTTCGGATTGGAAATTTGCTCGGTAAAACTAACCCCACACCTGGTGACTTTGACCGAACTTAATTCCAGTGTGAACAACCTGCATAAAGCGCTGTCCACACTATCAAATTTTAAGTGACAAATAAATGTGACAATGCCCATATTTGGGTGTAATATGACATTATCATGCCTGTATATGCCCATCTCACAAACTTGTCGTATAAAATTTTGGTCAGAGATTAACATTCCCTTTTGTCGAATTACTCAAGCTGCGTAGTAATTTTTAATCAAGCGCCGGATGAACAACCAGGATGTTTTCGTCAAAAAAGAGACCAGCATGAGTGATTTCCTAAGGGACATTATGCATTTACAGACTTCTCAAGTACTACGGAACATCTGTAGTTAGGCCTATTTTCTACGGAAATTTTGCCTAAATACAGACGGATAGAAATAGACAAAAATACTACGGAAATTTATCATAGGCCTAGCCCATAAATAAATAGGTCTTGAGTCCAGAACAAATGATTTTTCCATCAGCATCTTTTGTTACATTGTCCCTAGACAACTCATACTTGTCCAATTACTGATAAATTATTGTGAAAACTAAGAAAAAGTGACCCGCAAATCTTCATCCACATCGAATTACAGACAATCGGCCCAAAAGATAATTGGGCCTATAGGAAGATCGGGCACATTTCCAAAATAATTAAAACTCCATACTCAAGGCAAATTATTGGGTGGTGCTACAGAAATTTCTCATTTATCTGAAGACTACGGTAATGTATTTTAAGAACTTGAGAAGTCTGCATTTAATCAAATACTTCTTAGCTATGTGCGCCCAAAAGCTTAAATGCAGGCTATAATATTGGAATATGTGTCTAATTAGAATGTTGATGTTGGGCACTTGAACGGCCATTTTCATGACAAATAGTATTTAGCCAAGGTTTGGTAAAACATGTATTTAAATCGAAAAAATGATTTTGTAAAGGTGACATATTTATTTATCATGGCCAAAATACTACCGATAATCTAATGCGAACTCAGTTTATGGTTGCTGTGACTGTAGAAAACATGAAAAAAAAGATTACTACTCTGCAATGAAATCTTAATGTACAGTAATGTAGTGCATACCCTCCATGTTGAAAAACACGTTCACAGACAGTTAGCATGTTTTGTGTGTGTGTGTGACCATGGTAACAGGCTGTGAAAGAAGACATTAACATGAATTAATGAATGTGCCTCTTCTTTTCACCACATTATTAGTCTTTGTCAAGCTCCAGAGTTCCAGATTTTCCAGTCCAGCATTACAAGTTCCTTGGAAAACTTTTTTCTTTTTTTATTCAGTCATTCTTCAAATCTCAATTTTCAGTTTTCTTATCTTTTATCTAAAGTAATTTTTTCTCCTGATATAGAATACAGGAGAGGATTAAATAGGGAATCAAGCCAAACCAACACCTCCTCCCCACCCCTATTTTTTTTTTACAAATTTGAAAAAAGACAAAAAGAAAAATTCGACTATGTTGAGGGTGAGATATTATGTACATTTGAAAATGTCCCTCCCTGTGCCACGTTTACTTCAAATTCCTGAATCCGCAACTAGAATCAAATATGGATTATATTCATCTGGGAGAAAATATAGAAAATATAATTATGTACTTTTTACATATTAGTAACTTTAAAATATGTTAAGCCTTTGGAACCCCCTAAAACTGTTTTAGTTTCTGGCCATTTTGACCACTTGTGAGAAATTCTGAGCGACGCCTGACCACGCCCACACAAGCTCTCATCAAAGGCATCGCACCCTGCCCGCAATTCCTAAAACAGAACATTAGTAATATAGTATAACAGAAAGTGTTTCAATTTGGAGAAAATATATTTTAATAATAAATTATTTAATTTATTAAAGTGCCTCTGGAAAATGTGATGCCTTTGACCATTGCACAATTTCTTCAGATTTAGATTTATGGGAGGCTAAGCACTATATTATTTATAGCCAATCATAGTGGCAAAGGCTATTTAAAGCTTGTATAGAAAGATGAATCTTATATACATGAACCAATCAAAAAGTACAATGGCAGGTGTTGAATGAAAGTAGGTTACATTGAGGGTTTGTATTAAATTATTTATCAACTACTATATGGCATGAACATGTATTCAAACTGAATTACTATCATCACAACCCATTATGTCATATGCTTTCTATAATTTGATGTTTTATTGTCATTATCACCAAGATGTAGGACAACTTTCCCTTAGTAGAGTCTAGCTACTAGAAATTTTTAGATTAAAATTTCATAATTCTTTCAGTTGCTAAATAAGTTTATTATCCTACAATGGGGGAACTCATTTGGCCTTGAAAGTAAAACATACAAACAACAAAAATATACAAATAAATATGCAAGAATTAAGCAGTTAAAACTTGGTTAAAAAAATGTAAATTATTATACTAAAACATTGTAAAATCTCAGATTTATTTCTGTCTTAAATTTTAAAAAGTATTTTCTTCAACTTCAATAAATATTTTTTCACCTTAATTTTTGGATTGGTAAATAAGAAAATTTAAAAAACCAAAAAATTTGCTCTCATCTATATAAATTAGAGACATACTTTGTTTAGTGGTACCTTACTAACTACATACCCAAATATATCAAAATATAGCACCTCACTAGCATTGTATTTTGTATAAGCTTTTGTCTGAGTATTAACATATTAGTTTGTTATTTGTTAGCCTAGCAGCTTAGAGTAATGTTTGGCTTCATAATTTATTTTCCATGTGTATTGGGGCAGTTAAGTCAAATGCTAGAAAATCATCACTTTAAGGGAATCTGCCAAAAAAGCAATTTCACCAAAAATAATGCATTTTATACAATCGTCATTTAGTACTTTGTCTTTTTTTTTTTTACATTTATTTCATACATTATTACTTTTTTTATCTTGTCCATTATTATGTTGTACTGTACAACATTACAGAACATAATGGCACCATACAAGTACACAGTCATTAACTACAGCCATTACATATATAAAGTTAAAATTACAACAACAAACACATTAAAGCGATTATCCCACGACCTGTTGTTTACATACACGATGCATTCTATACATTCCTACTACTATCGAGCGTTTAAGCCGGCCATTCACAATCAGTTGTTTGTCTGTGGGGCTCAATTGAGAAATGTTTAATCAGACAAAAACAGTGACATCATTTGTTTGATCAGATGTCTGAAACAAGTATTGACAATCAGACAAATTTGATGCTACTATGCTGCCTCTCAGTGCTTGATGGAGCTCACCACCGTATTTATTCAAATAAACGCCGTTGTTTAGAAAAGTTTTTGTGGGGGATTTTATTTGGAGGGGGTGTTTACTAGAGGGGAGGCGTTCAATTTTTTTGGTGCAAAATGGATACTAAAATAAACGCCCCATAATTTCAGTGTAAATGTGGAACTACGTCACATAATTACTGTCAAAATGTCTTAATATGTGATCATAAAGACTCATTGATCTTAACAAGATAAGAATAAGGTAAATCTACCTGAGTAGAACATTAATAGAATGTGCGGAGAATCCTGTTGCTTCCATTCATTTTAGGGAGGAGTTTATTCCAAAAGATGCTTTAGAGGGGGGCATTTATTCAAAGCGGGACGTTTATTCGAAGAAATACGATAAATAATTATGAGCTCATTATATAGTTTCTCTTTTAATAAATAATTGTACAGTAATTTTAATGTAAATCGAATTATGTACTGGTAATGTATTTTTCTTATACTTAATATAGCCATGATAGTACAATTGCTTTTTTTCTTGGTTGTTTTGAAATTTTCTAAAATTAAAGGTGTAGCAACATTAGTCTATCGAAAAATATAAGCAATGACAACAGCACTTTTAAGACTAACTTGTATAAAATTTACTTTTTCAAATTCCTGGATCCACCTCTGGAATTAAATACCTGGATCATTTTCCTATTTTACTTAAGTGTGTTACAAATCATTGACTACAGTCTTTTCTTAATTGAGTTTTTGTAACTACAATAAATCAGAATCACTTTCTTTTTAATATTTTATGTGAATCTGGGAGAAAAAAACCCCACTAATATTGTACCTTTGTGAGAGAAGTAAAAATGCATGTTACTTAGTTTATTGGAGACAAATTCTTTATTTATAATGAGACAATTAACTGTTAATTGCAGTATAATCAAAATCAAATTGAAACATATTAATATTTTGTCAGATGGAAATAGAGCTAAATTATTGCCCTCATAACTTAAACATTAAAAAAACATTTAATAAATATTTATTACAGATTAAACATACAGGACTCTGTACAGAGATTAGCAGTCATATAATAATCTAACCTAATACTAATAGCACCTTTCTTTACAATATGAAGCGCTGTAAACTTTTACAAACTTTTCTTCAAGTGTAATGACTGTACTTTATTCCAAATAGTTCACTTCACACTTGCTACTGTCGTGATTCATGAGAGTATATAATAAAGATGTGAATACTTCACATAGAAACAAACCGACACGACTGATCATCAACAATTTTAATACAGTACTCCTCTAAACTATATTAATCTATTTCTAATATTGACAATCGTCTAAATGAGAGTGCAACCACATTTCATGCATCTTATTTTTATATAGTAAGACTTAAATAGGACGGTTCAGAACTCTCATTATAAATATAAATAGGATTTTTTTAAGTACATATGATTATACTTTAATTGTATTGTAATATTTGTGGTATACTAATAATATTCGAAAGGATGAGGTTAGCACCAGTGAGTGGGTATGGATCTAGTGGTTAAGGATATGTCACCCTGCAACTATTGCGTGAATGAATCTTACATAAGAATACAACAAAATAACTTACCTATTGACTACAAAAGAAATCTTTATTGCATTTCGTTATCATTAAATTTATTGGACAATACCTCTTAATATATCAGCTGCAAAAAACTTTGATACATCTATTCTAAACAATTCAATCCATTAAATAGCGTATATAAAAACTTATATATTTTGTATTACTTACTTACTATTTAGTGACAATGATAGTAAAGAGTGGAATTTTGTGATAAAAAAACATATCTTTAAAAAAAAATCCTATAACTACATTAATATATGTACATTTTCAATCTTCCTGTGAAATAAAACTTAAAACTTAAATACAGTATTGGCTTTCAAATAAAATACTTTCTATACCAATTATGCATAAATAATACTGTTTCAATATTGTTTGTATAACACTCAAATTTGCCGGTAATCAATTTGAGGATTGTTGTGAAAACTATGTGAATCAACAAAAACATAATTGTTTTAAAATTTGTGTCTATTTGATTGTTAAATAAAATATTGATGAACAGTGTTCTGAACAATAGCGTAGCCATATTTAGAGCACTAGTTCATAATTGCGTCTAATATTTAGTATGTACAATAGATCTAATAATCCCCTGCCATATTGGTGGGCTTGAGTTCCATATGATTGCACTTTCGATTGACGTTAAAAGCGAGACCAGCTCATTAACATAATGTGTTCATCTCGGGCGGTGACAGCGACCTACATCCCACTCTCGCAAAGTGCAATTGCTTTGTCTGCAGTCATCAACAAACTCGACTCGATACAGGCCTGCAATGGATTCAAGGTCAATGCCAGTATTGATTGACTACTTTCTTTAACATGTCTATGTTCACTTAATGTACGAACTGAGTACCCTGTGCTATCAATAATTACAGCAATACATCAGGCAGTAACATAATCCCTTTATAGAAAAATTTTAATATAATAACAGTATGGCACTCTAACCTCTAAATAAATCAATGCAAGAGTTATTGCGTGAAGGAAATTAGTAAATTGAGCAGTTACAAACAAAATAATTGTAATGGCATAATAATGTTCTGTTTTACCGAATTATTTATTCCCAAGGTTATATTAAGGTTGTCTCTAAAGGGTACTAAATTCATATTTGCACTATATAAAAAATCATGGTTTGCTGGTAGAGTGTGCATATACAATGAACATATTGCAATATTAATTATTCGGTAGGAGCACACGTCAGGTAGGGCAAAACATCACTCCTATAAGGGGCAGATTTAGGGGAAGCTGACCTGGCCCCGGCCACCACTACCACCCCCTTTTGGAAGGTAAAATAAAGAGAAAAAGAAAGAAAAAGAAAAAAAATGATAGCCCAGAACACCTCAAATGTTATTTTTGGGCATCTAGAACACAAAAATTTCGCGGGGGAATTCCCCCAGACCCCCTAGCATAGCGTTGTCTTGATCGGCCCAACTTTCGACACCCTCTTTTGGACATCTCTGAATCCGCCCCTGCCTATGATATTTTCCTGATGCAAACTCACATCAAAATCTTAATTATATCACATGGAGCCTTTTTTATACCTTATTTCGCGGACTTGTTTTTTTTTTAAGATTGTCAGAGGAGGGAGGAAAAAAAAAATTTTTGTTTTCTTTTTCATAAATAATTTTAACAATAATATCCTGATAAAGGAGTAAATATAAATATAATTTTATTACTAGAATGTAAACAGTGTAGTAATGGGATGGTTAAATGCTTTAAAATTTATATTATTAGCAAGAAACATGCATCTTTACTTTCAGAGACTTCCAGGCAGCGACGGGCATAATAAAAATAAAGGAAAACTGTTAATTTTTTCTAAAATTTCTAATTTTTCGAGGCAGCATGTGCGCTAATTGGCCAAAAATAAAATTTCTATTTTGAAATCATTGTTATTGGTGGGTGACAGGTTCGGTAAACAAGGTATAGAAAAAGTCGCACCTAACTATGAATTGTAATATTTTAAATTCTCTTGAAAGTTTGTCAGTGCTCGTGAGTCATGCCATAACATGGTTTTGAATCTTAGAACTAAAATATACCACAGAGAATAGAGTCTTCCAAAAAGTTAAATCAGGGTTATTGCAATTTTACAATGCCAAAAATATTTGGCCCATGCTACAAACTTTCAACTAAGGTTTCTTTAATTTAATCATGCCATGAGTCCATGGAAATTTCTACTAAAAAATAATTTAACACAAATCCGGATTTATTGTAACCCAACGACCGGACGTGAGATTGAAGTGGGTTACTGTACATCCGGAATTGTTTTAAAATTATTTTATAACAAATTTTTTAACAAATCCTGGACATAACCTACTTTATCCTCACGACCTGACATTGTACTTTTAGGCCAATGATATTAAAACAATTCATCCTTAAATATGTACATATAAAATTTACTATGCCTGTATTATTCACTGTTACATCCTGAATTGTTTTAAAATTATTGTAAATTTGGATTTAAAATAATTTGAAAAGAAATCCGGACACTAACCTACTTAATCTCATGACCTGGCATTGTACTTTTTGATAGGCTAATAATATTAAAAGAATAATTCATTTGCAGAGGTAACTTATTTAAGTATTATACAATGCTAACAATGTGGCTCTTGTAGCCCTGGCTTGGGCAAGGCATCCATGTGCAAAGCAGTGGTGTTTGTTTATCCATGAAAAAAGCATGCCGGGGAAGTTTGCCTTACCAGGAAAAGGTGGCGTATCTAGCTTATGACGTATGTGAGTGTGACGTCACCAAAAAATGAAAATTTTCTATTATAACCAAAATATTAATAACTACAAAGTTTCTGGGCGTAAATTCCCTTAATATGAATGAAGGGTTGCTCAATCTCCTTGCCATACAAATTACAGCTCCCACAGACGTCTCGGTCGAGAAATACGGGTAGCTGAAGTTTTTCTCGCAAATCTGACTACGAAACCATATCCAAATTTCACGTTCCACTTTTGACCCCGAGTTGTGCTTCGCACTCGCCGCTGAGGGCGGCGTTCCGGGAACTGGCCTCGTGAAGAACTTAACTGCAAACTTTTATGTATTGATTTTTATTGGCATTTTATTCCCATCTTATTAAAATTAGCTCCCCATTTGATATCTAGTTATTTATGTCTAGTTAACATTGTCCTGCTCCCACTAATAACAATTTGACTTCTTGCTTGACGAATCTTTATATGTCCGGATGCCTGGCACCAGCAAGTTTTACTCAATTCTAATTTCTGGTTTATTCATAAAAACATTGACATAGCAACATAAAATCGTTGAATTGCGTCAATTTACAAAGGTTTAACATTAAAAAGTTACCAAAAAACATGCTTGCAAAAATTCTACAATTCTAAAGTATACGAACAGAAACAGAAACTGTCAGTAGAAGGCAAAGCAATTTAACATTTTTTTGTTTACTGTCTTTTAGAAGTGGACATGATGTCATCATTGATGAAGCAGCCACAAAATGTGTTTTTATATGTAATTTTTTATTTATAAGCCATATTAAATACTTTTTTGTAATTGTATTGTAATACAAATAGTTTTAGCTTTGTGCTACTATTTTTGTACATTATACTATAATAAACAAACAAACAAATGAACAAATAAATAATTATCATATTCTTACATTAACGCCCGTATTCTTAAAACAAACTTTAGTCGAACTTCGAACTAGAACTTCATTTAGTGCTAGTTGCATCTTTAACTTCAATTTGTATTCACAAACAATGTAGTCGAAGTTTTAACTACGACTAAATCAAGTCCTAGTTTTAGTTCAACTGAAGACGACTGGCAAGCCACGACTATCAAACTAACCAATGAAAAGGGCTAACTTTAATAGCAGACGGAATTTTAGAGATCCGGTAACGCGGATGAATATTAAGCTGCCGTCTGTGGTTCAAAAACGTATTTCGTCATAATTCATAATAGACCATCATTCCTTTAATTAATTGTCTATAATAATAACTATATTAGTTGTTAACATATTACAATAGTGAATTTGAACAGACACTGAAAATTTTCTTTATTTGGAGAACTGTTATATTTGAGCCCGAGCGAGGGCACGCCATCTTTGTTGTTGTTATGGTGAAGCTAGGTGATTGCAATGCGAGGGGATTACGTGCAAATCAGGAACTATTGCATGCGGCTAGTGAAACATGTTAATTTCTCCTTTTGGAAGCTAAACTTGATGTCTCTTTGGTTTAACACACCGAAGATATATCAAACCTGCGTATACAATCGTTTTTATTCGTTTCACTTTATCGTGAGTTACAAAAAACACGTTTTTAGTGAGGTAAATATTTCAAGTCGGCGATTTAGCCTGACCTAGGCTGACTAAAAAAATCGGCCTGCGGAGTATCATTTTAGTCGAGGTTCACATCATTTAGTTGTAGTGCTAGTCGAAGTTCGTTTTAAGAATACGAAATGACGTAATTTTAAAGTTTTAGCTCGAACTACGACTAAAGTTCGTTTTAAGAATACCGGGGTGAACGTTTTAATCACCATGTATTATTCCAAGTAATACAGTATTGTTTACTCTGTTGAATTCACATACCATGCATGTTATTTTTCAGTATACACTTTTTTTTATAAGAACACATTTTATAAGAACACTGATTCTGAGATTGCTCAAAAACTAAGAACAAAATAAGAACAAATAATTGTTGCTCAGGTAAAATGTCAAATGAGTTTTTATTAAAAAAAAAACAACAACAACAAAAGGATACAGTAGCAAAAGTGGGTGTGACAATGTAACCCTCTATTATAATTACACTGCTGTACTATGGTAATGAAGTTCTATCTTTGAAAAATGTGTCAATTTTTTTCCCAAACATTTTTAGCCTGAAATTTCCCCATAAAAACACTGAGCCTGGGCAAAAGGTTACTGGTTCTTATAAAAACAAAAGTGTATTAGTGTACAAATAGCATTTCAAAGATAATCTTAGAAAAATATTGTTTTCCAGGCTTACTAAATAGCTCACATTCCCTTTAAGATTCAGAATTTACTCGTTGTGCTCATTTTAGGCACAATTGCACAGGTCACATATAAATACAAAAAAATCATTACAAATTTCAATACACGCAATATCAAAATGGATTTTAAAAATTAATAGTTGATAAGGCAATTCATATTTTATATAAGAGCTGCATAATAAATAATCACTAGTTTAGATTTATGACAGACCAATTTAAATAAACTGAGATATGAACTCCACAGCGTCTTAAAGCAGGACAGTAGCGTGCTACGACCCCTGACTTCAAGATTTATTATAAAACAGGAAGGTTTGAAGCATAGGAAAGTAGCAGTGACTGTGTGTGCACTTGTGTATAAAAATCCGGTGGGTGCTTCAGTCTATTATTGTGTACTGGTTACATTTTGGTACGATATCTAGGCCTGTTTAATGTGCTGATATGAACAGAGTACTAACTTTAACCTCCACAAAATAAACTATAGGAAATTAGAAATAGAATTTTCTGTGCTGTTTAACTTTCATAAATAATAGACAGGCCAATATTAGCTAGCACACAAAATTAAGCATGGTAAATGCTTTGTAAATCAGGGACAAAGAAATATAATTATTGTAATATTAGCAATTCATTATTTTAATAGAAAGTTTGAGGCGTCTTTCACATCAACATAGACAGTATTGTTTACAACATAAACAACTAAACTAAATAAAAAACTTTAAAATATTAAAGTAAGTTTAATTTGTTTTCAACATAACATTTATTTTACTTTCATTTTATGTACAATTTCCAAAGAAATAAAATTGATTTTTTT